AGGAAAGATCTCGACAATAATGTCAGGATCCACCCTGCTGCCTGATTGACAGCTCTCTAAGGCCAGAGCCAGCTATGCCCGCCCCTTCCCCTTTCTGTCCCTGCAATGATTGCTGGAGGAACACAGATTGGGGAGGGGGGAATCCCTCCCCTATCCCTGGCTTCATGGCCGGGAAGCCATGAGCTGAGTAATCAGTGGTATGTGATCGCTCAGTTCTCGAGCTATAGAGCCGATGTGTGACAACTGCAGTGTTGTGGCTCAAACTATTAGGTAGAGTACATTTTACTCTCCCAATACTTCTCCTTTAACTCCATGTACAATGCAGGCGCACACAGAATTTAAAATATACCTTTATTTACTAGCATAGGCTCATAGAAAGCAATTATTATTTCTTTGTGCCCAATTCACACCACAATGCTGCCTTGAGGCGGGCTGCAGTCGGTTGCATATAAATGCAGAAATCTTGCATTGGTATAGTGTATATAAATTGATGTAACCATTTTGTGTGACAGGAACAGGATGCTTGTCCAGGTTGTCATCACTCAGCCGCAATGCGATCCAGTGCGTAAGGGCCGGAACGCACTGTGGCTGGTGTGAACTAGCCCTTAAGGAAAGAAAATGTGTGGATATTCTATAGAGGAAAACGTACTAGTTGATCCTGCCAGAAACCCTGTCTAGATGTCACATTCAAGACAGTTGGCTACCCCGCCTCATAGAAGGAGCTCACATTTCACCCAAGCATTTCCTGGTGTGTTTTTTAATTAGACCTTTTCTCTGTGCTTTTTCTAGCACAAACATACTATAAAGAATGTTAATTAATCCGTGATGAAAATTGTTCACTTTAACAACATAAACCTGCATGATTAGGCGTGAGGATTACATGCTTGGATTGCTTTCTTTTCCTCTCCTGATACTTGGCATGGCTTGTCGTGACCACCCTTTCTTTTCAGCTGGGAAGCTAGAAATCGTCTGTTAGAGAGCCTAAAAGCTGCTTCTGACTCAGAGCTCTGTGGGGTGTTTCTGGAGTGATCTATGGCTTACATTTATTTTCCTGGTACCAGAAGAAGAAATCTCTGTCTCTTGACATTTTATACATCATGTGCAGTCAGATTACTTGCTGACATTTTTTAAGAAATATGGCAACCTTTTTAAACCATAGAAATTTACACAGATGTTACAAGATGAGATAAACTTTAGGTGAGAACGGTTTACTGCCCTCATCAACGTTCCCTGTAAAGGTGGCCATACACTTTACAACCATCGCAAGACCTTAGTCTTGCGATGGTTGTAAAGTAATAAAAAAAATGTAATAAAATTTCGTATGATCTGCCCATTTTGGACAGGCAGATCGTACTTGCGATCATCGCTTCCGATTATTGCAGAGCTGAGCGGGCAGCATTCGTCTTCCGAGCACGCAACCAACCCGCACAAAATTGTACGATTTTCGGCAGGTTTTCCAGCGTGCTCGGAAGACGAAAGTCATGCGACCTTACAGTAGAAGCGATTGCACGCTGCCCATACACTTGCCGATTATCGTACGATCGCGGGATCACTCACGATTATTGTACGATAATCGCCAGCTGTATGGGCACCTTCAAGGTGACCATACACTAGTAGATTTTCGGTCAAAATTTTTGGTTTCTGCCACGAACCCTTGTTCGATTATAGCTCGAGTACCCCAAAAGGCATAGTTAAATGCTGATTTTGGAAATCGTTCTTAGCCATACTAACCATCCACTTTTTGACGAACGGAAATAAGTTCCTTTTGCGCATGTGCTGTGTTCTTGCTAAGATTTTTGACGTATGAAAACCCCACTGATTCATCGATTTTCGTTCAGTCAGAGAAAAATTATCCAACCTGACCGATCGAAACATTTCGATCAGAATATCAAAGAGGAAATGAGTGATGCACTATCAACTGTTCAGTTTTCGTTTGAAAGACCGTTCGTGTACGATTTCCGAACGAAAATCGTACAATGTATGGCCACCATTAGAGAAGAGGCTTTGTATGACTGTTCGCACGGATGGAGTGAGCCTGCTGGAATGAGGGTCCTGTCACACCATCAGGAGTGCGTTCCAGTGCATTCGGCCTCTGAACGCAAACCGGCTGGAGGGGGCGTGGCGGTGCATTGAACTCAATGGAACCGCAGCCTTGCCCCCCCACCCGCCGTGTGATCGCCGGCACCCGAGTGTGTGGCACAATAGTGCCTGCGTTCCAGACCAGTGCTATCTGCAAAAAATGCTGCAAACACAATTTTTTGCAGATCGCACTGGACCGGTACGCAGGCACTATTGTGCCACTCGTTCGAGTGCTGGCAATCGCACCGTGGGCGATTGCTGCGGTGCCATTGAGTTCAATGCACCGCCACGCCCCCTCCCGCCCCCAAAAAACTGAGTCGGCCGGGTTACGTTCCAAAGGCCGAACGCACTTCTGATGGTGTGACAGAGCCCTGAGGAATAGGGTAGTACTCTTATTCCTCTATCCCTAAGCAAACAGGAGAATTTAACTCTTGTAGTTGAGGGGGTTAGTTTTTTCTTGTGTTGGGCTTTAAAAGACTAATTCAGTATGAGCTCTACTTTTTTTAGATTGCAAGCCCTCAGGGGCAGGGCCCTCCTTACCATCTTGTCTTGAATCGTATTGTGATTGTAATGTCTTCCTTATATTGTAAAGCGCTGTGCAAACTGTTGGCGCTATATAAATCCTATATACTAATAATAATAATACTTAGTGGCTATTTAATCACTTTTTCTTGGATTAAACACGGCAGTTTTCTACTTGTATATTGCCCTCCTCATGCCAGTTACTGGCACCTATGCACACAGGCTGGTCTCTTTTACATTCTGCTTCACACAATACTAATGGCTTATAAAAACACAAGATCCCAGAATATGCTGGTATTAAGCTGAACTGTACTGGGTGAGCAGGAATCCATCTGGACTGTACTCTAATTCCAACAGCTTGCAGCCATAGAGGCAGCGTGACTCCTTTTCAAACTGTTTTTTCTTCATGTTAAGTGCAAAATACTTAAGACTCCCAAAAGGCAAAGGTTTATTCTGCTCTAGTAGAGTAGAATTTCCCTGCTATCTGTTTTTTCCCCCTGACATTGAGGCCCCGTCAGTCAGAAAAAAAAACAGCATAGGAATGAATAGCTAGGCTTCTATTGGCTATTTCAATTTGCAAAAGCCAATAGCAGACTAGCTATTGCACCCGCCCAGTGCTACTGTCAATCAGCAGAGGTGGATCTGAAGTTCTCCATCAGGTCCTCTCTGCTGATTGACAGCAGCAGAGGGCCGGATGCAATAGCCAGCTTGCTTTCGGCTATTGCAAATTGAAATAGCCAATAGCAATCTAGCTATGCATTCCTATGCTGTTTTTTTAAATTCTGACAGCAGCAGCTGTCAGAATACAAAAAAAAAAACCCCCAGCAGATAGCACGGGAAGGATTAGCTTCTTTGCTATCGGTCATCATTTCAGTGGGGTGCTCCCCCGCCCCCCCCCTTCCACAGATAGTGGAGGGGGAGTGGGGGATGGGACAGAGGACACCTCCCTGAAATTACTTTTTTTCAGGTTAGGATCCTTGCAGTTATCATGTCTCTGCTAGGCTGTAGTAAGCCTGAGCTGGGAGTGATAGCTCTGCTTCATTTGATTTGTCCTAAGCTCAGTTTTATTGTTTGCTTCTTCCTCTTATTGGGAAGTGTCACTGGCGATAGTGTGAGAAGATACAATAGTTGTGAGTTATGAATATGGACAACCCTAGGAGCTTTATTGCCAGTGGTGCACGCTGGACGACAATATAATGGGATACAAAAGCAAAAACTTCCCAGCACATATATCCAGCTAGCCTGCAAAATAAACAAACTACATACAGGCTTAACTGCAGCTTTACCATGAAATAGCAGCCCCTGGTCTTCAGATAACTTTGCCTAGGCTGAGATGAGCATTTTCCTTATCTCCCCCCACCCCATGATCACTCACATCATAACATCGAAATAAGTCACAAGGCAAGATACTGCAGCAGGCGGTTGATCTATGTCAGACATTAGTGAACACTCCAGGATTTACCTTGTTTATTCGCTGAACTAAGCGCTAGTTCACACCCCAAACAGTGTGTTCCGGCCCGATTAGGTTCTGAAACACACTGAATGGCATCCCGGTTGGCTCACTGCATTCTGGGGGGTGGTGTGGCAGTGCATTGAAGTCAATGGCACCGCAGCCATGTCCCTCAGCCACAGTGCGATGGGCCACATCAATACCAGCTGGTCCGGTGCGATCAGAGCAAATTCCGCCCCAGAACACAATGAGCCGGCCAGGATGCGATCCGGTACGTTCTGGCACCGAATCGCGACAGAACGCAGTGTTTGTGGTGTGAACTAGCCCTAACAGCTCAGTGCAGGAAGTCAATGTGGACTCTGGATGAAACTTGAAACCGAGATGGTGTTGTGGTTGTGCAGAAAAATGCAGATCAGACCTTTTTCAGAGGAAGTACTATGATCTCTGAAAAAGAGGTTAATTTATCAATGTTTTCACCCAAGATTTACATATATTTATGTGAAAATGGGTGAATCATGAGTGAAAGTTGTGCAGATCTTGTGTGAAAGTATTTCTAAAAGGAGGCAGCCAAGCATGAAATGTGTGCAGTGGGCGGTGTCCTGTAAATCTCAGCATTGATAAGCACAGCAGACTGCCCCCTGACACTGGGCACTGCCTGTATCATCTCCAACGTCACAGACCGCTCAGCTCCTCCCAATAACACTGGCCGGTCTGTCACCGAAGCAGCGGCTCGCACATGACAGCGCCCCGAATCAGTCCACGCCCCTGATTAGTCTATCACGCGATCTCCCCGCCCATCCGCTCGCTGGCCCGACCTACTGCAATACATCAGTACTTGTTCAGGGCGGTCCCTAGAGATGACGTAAACGCTCTATGCCCGCCTCCTGACCCCGGTCCGCCTCCTTACGTCACGCCCGTAGACCCCACCCGTTCAGGCCGGATTCGTGCATGCGCAATACCGGGCCGGGCTGGCAGGAAAGATGGCGGCGGCGGGAGGAGTCCGGGGTTGAGAGAGCGGCCCGGGGAACGGGGACATGGCGAGATTGTCAGATTACTTCCTGCTGGTGGGGTATGACCTGAACAAGAGAGGTGAGAATGGGCGGGGCTGACAGCGGGGGGTCAGGGGGTGCCTGGGAAGGAATGCACACCCGAGGGTGGAAGGAGGGATACCTGGGTGATGGAGGAGGGTGTGCAGCCAGCGGAGGCAGAGGAGCTCAGAGCCTTCCCAGCACAACAGTCTATAGTGCTTGTCATGGAGTGATACCAGATCATGCTATATATAGTGCTGCTCTGTATGTACAGCTGGCTTCAAGGTTCCATACAATGCACAAGGCTTCATATTGTTCATGTATTCGCATGCTCATTAAAGCTGAAATCTGGCTTCACCAGATACTGTGCAGATACAAGAGCCATGTGAATTCTTATGTGGAATCTGGGTGTCATTTGTTTATTTCTTCCAGGCAGTAAACCAGCATCAAACTACGCCTGCACTTTGCCTGTGTTTTGGTGTAGCCTATTATTAAGACCGGTCACTGCTGCTCTCTCTCCTTGTGCACTGAGATTGGTCTTTTCTCCACCCACCTGTAGTTTCTTAGCAGACTGCCTGTAGCAGATGGAGCTACTAGGCCCCTCCTACTGCTCTGCTCAGGCTATGTACAGCACAGTGATGATGTCTGGGATTGGTGCACACAACGTGGATTTATAGCCTATTGAGCAATGTATTTCAGTGTAATGTTTTTTTGCCTGGAGTTCAGCTTTAATGGTACATGGAATATAATGTATGCCGGATGTGTTCTGGTCCGTGGGCCCCAGGTGATGACTGAGAGTGTTAATATTCCACATATTGGGTGCATACCCTATTGGTACTGACACTCATTTATTCCTGTGAAATAGAAGCACAGAGATTTTGACACTGCACAGTCATATGCTGATCTTTTCGGCGCTTGATGTATTGTGTCTTAAATCTGAACTCTGGGGAAAAGAATAATCCTTCCTTGCAGTGGGGCTCCCCGGTACCTTTTATTTATCCCATCCCTCGCTCCTACAGACTCCTTCCACACTATGTGACCGGCCCCCACAGTCTCCTCTCTAAGACGCTCCACTCATCATCATATACAATCCAGGGCCAATAGCCTTGCATTGTATGTGAGGATGGCGAGAGACCGCCCACAACCCAGAGCGTCAGGGAGAAGAGGAGAGCGCCGGGGGAGCGAGGGATAGGGTAAGGTAAAGTCCATTTTTCCAGAACCCTAGACATCAACAAGAACCAATGCAAGGGAGGACCCTTCTTTTCTCCAGCGTTCACCTTTTAATTATGGAACAGAGTTCCCTTGTAGAATGTTTGTGGTATAAACATGCATGACTGCACCAGCTGAACGTGTATGTCCTGTGCAGACTCCCACATCCTTTGGGGGAACACTGGTGGTTGTCCTGGAAAGTCCACCTAGTCCCCTGAGATCGCTCATCCATGGGGTGTCTACTCCGTTTCAGACTCAGAAGCAAGACAAATCCATTCATGCTTTTCTGTTGTTATGACTTGCTTTTGAGTTGTATTTACTTGCTTCCGAGGTGCTTATGATCAGTGTAGCTTCAATCAAACTGCCTTGGGATTAAAGGCATTTTTTTTCTCTTCATTTTGGATAAAGTAGGGAAGGATTAGAACCTCTGTCAGGATTTTATTGCTGTCTGTGCCTGATGGGGAGCTTTATACCCTCCGTTTATCCTGATTACCATTGTCACAAGTAACTGCTATCTAACAGAGGATTTCCCTGCCTTTGTAAAGATCTATCACTTCCTGTTTGAGTTTAAGACAGGAAGTAAAAAAGAATTTCCCCAAAGGGACACGGCAGGTGAACATTGAAAGGGGTATTACCCATTTCCTACTCCAGGGGTAGGCAACTTTGTCATTCCAGCTGCCCTGCAACTTTGAATCCCATCATGCCTCCGGGAGTCATGCCTGTGTGACACTCTCTCTCTCTCTCTCTCTCTCTCTCTCTCTCTCTCTCTCTCTCATGTTTTTCATATGGGGGCGCTTCACGAAGGCATTTGCAACACATTTCTGGGTGGCTGCAGTAGGAAGCCTTGTGCTAAATTCAAGAACATCCTGCAACACTTTCATTGCCAATACCGACATGTGTAACAAATTCAAATAGTAGTGATTTGTGACACTTTTACTGTATGACACTATTGTTGTGATAAACTTGTAAGCGTACTCGATATGTTTCTTTTCCGTTGATGTCTGACGGGCGATTCTGTTGCTGGTGATTTGTTGAGATTGCCAATAGCAGTCTAATGGGCTACCTGTTTGTCCCTATGGAATTGCTCCATCTGTAGCTTAGGCGGTAAAGTGTCACTCCGACCAATAGAAATTCAGCAGCGTTCGGGGCCATTGACAGAGTGACATCTCATTGCTACTGCTACAGAGGGAGCAATTCCATAGGGACTGGCAGGCAGCCCATTTTGGCAATTGCCAAAATCATCTGTTTGCCATCAGCCTTAGGCTTCATTCACCCTATGTGTGAATGTGTGTTTTGGGATTCCTGTGGCAGGAACCTTGGATTCAGGTTAATGACCGGGTGACAGCAGTCGCATCTGTAAGTGGTACTCCACATGTAATCGTATGTGATCGATTACATGCAGGTTGGAATAGATCACTGTCCCTGGATGCATCTATTGTGTGACCAGGGACAGTGATCTATTTCAAACCGCATGTAATTGTATCGCTTACGAATACATGCAGAGTACCACATATGCAGCCGCTGTCACCCGGTCATTAACATGAATTCATAGGTTCCTGCCACATGAATCCCAAAACACTTTCACACATAGGGTGAATGTAGCCTTACTCTCCCAACTTCTCCAACAGCTTCTCTGCCATTTCTTAGGAGAGATGTTTACGTCCGTTCTCTCAGAATTGTGACCGATTCATACACACCTTACTGACCTGTACAAGAATCTGCTTTTGGTATTTGTCGTACTACCATGAGGCCGATTTCTATAGCAGGGGTGGGAACACTTTGTCCCTCCAGCTGTGGTGGAACTTCAAATCCCATGAGGCATAGCAAGATTCTCATAGCCACTGGCATGACTCCCGGAGACAGATGCATCTTGGGATTCGTAGTTTCACAAAAGCTGGAGGGTCGGAGTATGCTCACGTCTTTTCTACAGAGTATCTATGACACAGTATGAGTTGCAATTAAAGTTATTCTCATATGTTAGTTCAGTATGCGGGCTTACTGTATGTACATCAGGGCTGGACACATCCCAGGAGCCAGGTAGCCAATGCACAGTACAGCCAGCCTCTCAATGCTACATGTGCAGGTTTGTTTAGGCCACACGTGTAGCTGTTTTCTCTATGTGCTGCGTGTTGACAGCCTCTGGCAGTTACCTTGCTGGAACACGGCAGATTTCAGTTCTCCAACATACATCATACTTTCAGCTTCCTGTCTAATCAGGTGCTCTGGGCGGAGAGCATTCAGCAACACAGAACAGTTTCAGGAGTCTGGTTTGTTGAAAGCAGCTTTATAGTAAGGCTGACAGGAAGCACCATGGCCTACCAGGGCTTAAAGGTTTGCTTCAAATGTAAATATAATATTTTTTTTGGATAGAGCTTGGAAGGGTCTGTGTCCCCGCTGGGGAGATTCACCTCTCTATTTGTCCTGGTAACCACTATCACCAAGGCACAAAGTGAGGGGAAATTGTTACCATAGCAAGAGATGGGGAAATAATCCTGTGTTACTATGACAACTGTCTAAGATGAGAATTTGGTTCACTTTGGAGAAATGTTCAATCACTTTTGTTACATCTCCTGCTGGCCAGGACTTAAAAAGATGTTTCACAAGCAGGACATGGACAGTGAGAAGTCAGAAGTTTTCAGTTTCCATACATTTTATTTGATTTAAATAGCAGATAGCTGTATACCTTCAGCTGCAATCAAAGAACTAAGTGGGCAGCCCTTGTTAGTCTTCTTTAAATAAAGGTTGGCTTCATAATTCTGAGTCACAGTGCAAGCTTTTAGCAATCAAGTCAGTGAACAGAGTAGATTGCTTTTCTTTATAGTGAGTCAGTAAGTTTCGAGGCCCAAGCATTTGCATGACAGCCTGGCTACTAGCATTTTCAGAAGATGGGAGAAAACACGCCTTCATATATTTATCATGGCAGGTTTGATTTAGTCCTGTGTAGGTGGATGGAGGAATCTCCCGATAAGGTTCAGTATCTTGCTAGTCGGCCCCTGCTGGCTGTCAAAATACCTGAACAATCTGATTGGGTGCAGGCATTGTTCAGGTGTTTTGAGAGCCAGCGGGGCCGACTAGCAAGATACTGAAGTTTGACCCAGTGGAGATTCCTCCATCCACACAGTTTAGCGGAATCTGTTGCACTTTTTCCATCTGACCACAGACAATCTGCAGATAATCTGTAAGTGTAAGGCCAGCGGCAGAGAGCCGGAACTCTCAGCTACAGCACAAGAAGAACGCGGTCTGCGGTATACAAGATCAATGAAGCTAGGATTTTTACAGTATACAGCAGCAATCCAGACCTAGGATAGTCATCATTAGAGGTAACTAAATGGGATTAAAGCAAATTAGAAAGCTAGAAGCGTTTAGATTGTACGTGAATCTGAAGTGAATTGAATAGTTGAGGAGCGATTAGAAGGGGCAGAATGGGAGAAAATTTTGATGAAAATAATGGTACTGACTTATTTATTAGCCAATGCTTCTAAAAATAAAAGCTGACGCCTAACTTTTGAGGTTTTCTCTAGTTGTCTCCTAAAAACCATCCTGCTGACTCCTGGATTGGACAGACCTGACTCCGAAGGAGCTTGTTTTGTTTCATTTAAAACTTCCAATTTTCGGAAAGGGTCTCTTCAAAATGGCAGTCAGGTGGATTCAAGCTGTCATTTTGCAGATTAGAAAATTGGAGCTGTAATCTTCTACTTTTCTCTCCCATTCTTTTTATCTGCTGCATTAGATTTTACTGATCAAAGTGTCTAAACAAAAAGCAATTCTCGCCCATGGCAAGCAATTAATTATCACTTTCTGCACAGAGTGAAAGGGGCGCATTGGGCTGCCATGGCAACAAGGACAGTCCTT